ACCCCTCAGCCATTCCCTGCTTCTGATTTCAGTGGCTCCGACTCTGACCACATTAAGGAAAGCAGCAGGTGCCTCTGGGGCGGAGTGCCTGTGCCCGGGTCGGCCCAGTCTGCCGCTGTGTATTCCCTCGGCAGGCAGCAGCCTGCAGCCTGATGGAACGCATGCGAAATACATCTGATATGAACAGGAGATGACAGCTGACATTTCTGGCACTCCTTTCTGCCTGGCAGGACCAAGGGAAACTACAAAAACCCGGAGCTTAAAGCAGCCCGACCTTTCTCATGTGTGTCCTCTATGTTGTGCCTTTTTTCCAATCGCCCCCCGCTGAATGCCACAGCCTCTGCCAGTTACATAACTTGTATTATTGTAATCCTCACAACTCCATGGGTAAAACAGTGCTAACTCTACCTTGGCAGAAGAAGCTATCAAGGCAAAAAGCTTACAACTTGTCCAAACTGGAGACGTTACAAGGTCACCACATCTGAGAGCCTAGGCTGGCATCAGAGCCCTGGAATGTGTCCGAGTTTAAAGCCTTGTTTGTACTTCTGTTATGTTTTTCCACCATCTTGAAAGGAGGTTTTTTTTTTTTTAATCTGAAAGAATGAAAGAAAAAGAGGGAGAGAAAAACAAATCTTCTATACCCCAGTTCACTCCTGCAAATGGCCAATGTCTGGAAGCCAGGAGCCCAGAACACGTGGGTGGTAAGGGCCTAATTGAGTCACCTTCCCCAACCTTCCCAGGCACATCAGCAGGGAGCCAATCAGAATCAGAGCTGCTGGGCTCCAACCGGGCTCCTAGGGAATGCTGGCATCACAGGCCGGCTCCTCCACTTCCGTTCCAAGTGATGTCTGCTGTTATACCTGGAGCTTCAGACTTCTTGTTCCACTGAAATTTTATCATTTGTAAAGAGCCAGAGACTACTTACAGATTCTCTTTAAAAAAATGATCTTTCAAAGTAATCTATCAAACTATTACACAAATTTTGAGTTGAAGCATCAAAGAAGGTTCTCAGGAGACAGTGGGAGAAGGCACGATCTGAAAGCAAAGGACGGGTGGAGCCAGTGGCTGGCAGCCAAGCTTTGCTGTTTTTTTTTTTTCATTTTTAAAGATTTATTATTTATTTATTCCTTTGAAAAGCAGAATTATACAGAGAGAAGGAGAGAAACACAGAGATCTTCCACCTGTTGGTTCACTTCCCAGATGGCTCCCCGGCAAAGGCCAGGTCAAAGCCAGGAGCCAGGAGCTTCATACAGTTCTTCCATGTGGGTACAGGGTGCCGAGCCCTCACGCCAACAAATAAAATGGCTGAAAAATAAGTGACCTTGGAACAAGTCAGGGATTAAATAGATTATGATAGCATACATAACCAATGACAATTTTTTTTTTTCTTGAGGCGGGGAGACAGACTGACAAGCTAGCATTTGCACTTCCATCTACTGGTTCAGTCCCCAGATACCTACCATGGTTGGGGCTGGCCAGGTCTCGGGGGTTAAACCTGCCAGCAGGCCCCAAGGTCACGAATGTGAGGTGATGGTGTGAACCACTGAGAGAAGCTGGTGAGGAATGTCTGCTTTATTATGCACAAGTTACAAGTTCATGGCTAAGGACAGGAGGCCAGGAAGGCATCTTCTGGAAGTCCCCCCACCCACCAAAGACTATGTAAGACACTGATCGGCACACAGGGCTGGAAGCTGTGAGCCACGCCCACCAGGTAGCATGCAGGGGTCCAGGGGCAATAGCTCACAGCCAGGCACAGGACCAACCTCGGTGGCATCGGCCATCAGTAGTGGCTCCCTGGCTCTGTGTTAGCACGGAGCTATAGCCTGTTGCTGTGCCAGGAGTCAGACCCAGACATAGTCAGAGATGGAAAAATGCCTGCCTCAAGTAATGTTTCAGTAAGTACTTTCAGGTTTGTAAAATGCTCCTTGTGCAGCCTCAAGGGTACCACACGACCCACAAAGCAAACCGGGTTCAGCAAAGGCTGAGTGACTTGCTCTTAAACTCCCAATTCTCTCTCTCTCTAAGATGAATTTTATTTTTTATTGGAAAGTCAGATTTACAGAGAAAAGGTGAGACAGAGAGAAAGATCTATCTGCTGGTACATTCCCCAAGTGGCAGTAATGGCCGGAGCTGAGCCAATGTGAAGCCAGGAGCCCAGAGCTTCTTCCCAGTCTCCCATATGGGTGCAGGGTCCCAATTGCTTTCTCAGGCCACAGCAGGGAGGGACAGAAAGGGAAGTGGAACAGCCAGGACACACACTGGCACCCATATAGGATCCTGGCGCATGTAAGGTGAGGACTTTACCCACTAGACTACCGCGCTGGGTCTAACTCCAAATTCTCTTACCCCAAAGTCTATAGTAGTTCCTCTAGGGTAAAGTCAATTTCGTAGCATAAAGGCTGCCCCCCCATAAACCGTGCTAACCAGCAGAGGGCGCAAGCACATGCCTGACTTCTTTAAGTCACACCTCTGCGTGCTGGTCTTGCCACGTAATGTGCCAGATGACTCAAATCTGTTCTTTAATTTTCCCAAGTCTTGTGGATGAAATATCAGCGGTGATGTCCCTACCATCAACAACCCAGGGCGCTCCTAAGTTGTTATAATCACTGTGGCCGGCACCTGGTAGATGGACAATAAATTATTCAAGATTCCCATCAGGGGACCACAGAAGCAATTGAGGTTTAGTTTGCATATATGACACTTACAGTGGCAGATTAGAACCATCGCCCAGGCAGGGAGCCTTGGGAACAGGAGCTGACATTTGTTTAACTAAGGAAACCGTTTAAACCAAGGAAAATACTACCAGAAGTAGCAAGACCTGGAAATCGAAGAAAATGTCAATATCACTCTCTAACAGCAACATGGAAACCAGATTGTTAAATGCACAAGTTTAATAGCTTAGCCGCTCCAGCCAATGGAACACTGTGCTGACGCGAAAGTGAGGCTGCAGAACATCCCACAAGGAGAGACGTCACAACCCAGCAGGTAGAATTCTCAAGATGCAGACAACTCCATTGAGCTTTTGCTTAACAACACACACAGGACAGAAATCAACAGTTTAAGTTGTTTCCTCGGGAGATTGTTAGTGCTACTTTTTTTTTCTTCTTTCTGGCTCCTCCTTGCTTTATGTTCTGCAATTCACATTTATAGTTTGGTAATAAAATTATTATTATTATTATTGTGTTTACTGGAGCCCAGATGGCTTTTTTTCCTCTACCACCATCAGCCAGCACGACCAGGCCAGCGGTCTTGTAAATTAAGGCAGCGGTGACAGACGAGCCAGTTTCCAGGTAGTTAAAGTAATTACAAGGCTGACGAAATTTCCCAGAGCTGGTTATTAAGCGTTGACTTAGCAGCTGTAAGGCTGTTATAAAGAGACACCAGGCTCACACTTTTCCTAAAGGCCTAAAAATGGCACCAAATAAAGTATGAACAATTGTTCCCGGGGAGGGCCCGGTGCCCAGTCTGTCCTGGGCCGCTGTAACTTGAAACCCCTCTATCTCCTACTCCACCTTACTGACCACTGTGTCTCAACTTACTTTGCTGCCCTTGAAATGGAGTGGAATTTCAACGCAGAGTTACCCATTAGTTCCGGGCTAAATGGAAAGCTTTAATTAAATGAACCCGTTGGTCTCAAGCACATTGCTTCTCCTCCCAAAACACTGTGGCAAGGTTTCCCTGGCGTCACAGAGCTTAATGCAATGTGACAACGGTTTCTCACTGCTTTGGCTTAAGTCATTTAAATCACCCAGAGGGAACAGGCACGCGTGGGCTGACTCTTACGGAACGCCTCCAGCCCCAAGCCCAGCGCAGCCAGCGGCTTGTTGCAGAGGGGACTGCAACTGCCCCTCAAGCCCATGGAAACCGCAGAGAACTCCGAGGGTTAATCGCGTCCCGAGCTCGGGGAAGCCCATCTCTGTATTAGACGTGGTATTGTTTATGAAATAATAATAGTTAAAAGGGTCACGATGTCTACTGGTCCCAGCTTGTGTATTGGGGAGGGGAGTGCTTAAATACTACAAAAGTCTGCCAAGTGACAAAGGGGATGAAGTGATCTTTCCTGAACGTGGAAGTACAAACTGCTAGGAGGCGGATGAAGAATGACCCGCACAGTGCATGGGGCTGTGTCAACCACGTGCTGGACCTCCCGTGCAGGTCCAAAAGCGGCTTCTGGTGTCTGCCAGGGTTGCCACGCGCGGCCTGCGAACGAGTAACACACAACCTGAATGGTGGGCGACAGCCCTAAGGTGGGGCTCTCCACCGAGGAGACCCAACCCGGTAACCAGTAGTAAGGACCGGCCAATTCGCCCAGTTCTGCCCGCCCCTCCCCCCGGCAAAACAGGGTCGGGTTAACTGGCTCGCGGTTCACACCATCATCTCGCAGACTCAACAGGCGCACGCCCTGATAGCGAGGATTGTGCACGCACCCCCCTGGTTCCCAGCGCCAGCGTGCTGAGCGCACGTGCTCGCCTCCCGCACCTGGCTCCCGCCGGCCCTCGTGCACTTCCAACTCTGCCACAATCGGCGGGCGGCGGCTTGGACGGCCGTCCGGGACAGGCCGACAGATCCCCGCCCCTCCGCGCGCTCGGCCCGGCTCGCCCTTCTCCTCCTCTTCCTCTTCTCCGGCCCTTTCGCCTCCCGCGCCTGCGGCTTTTGTTTTCCTCCCAGGTTTCTTTACCCACACGTGACCCCGTGTTATTGCAAGGAGCGCTTCGGAGCGCGAGCGCTGGGCGCGCGCACCTATAAATACGGACGCTGGGCCGCGCGACCCACCGGCCAGGGGAGCGGCGAGCAGGCGGACAGCCCGCGAGCAGCAGCAGCAGCAGCAGCAGCAGCAGCAGCAGCAGCAGCAGCGAGCCCGGGGCGCGCGTGGGGCGGGCCGCGGCGCCCCCCGCCCGAGCACCGGGGCCGGCATGGCCCGCCCGCAGGGGGGCCGGGCCGCCGCGCACGCCGCCCGCGCCCCGCGCCCTGCCCAGCCCGGGTCGCCGGCGCTCGCGCACGCCGCTTAGCACTCGGCGCCGCTCGCTTCTCCCGTCTCGCGGAAATCCCGCCGCAGACGGACACAATGGCGGCGGCGGCTGCCAGCACGGTCGCTCGCAGCGGCAGCGCCGGCACCGACGCCGCGGGCGCCAGCGGATTGCAGCCGCAGCCCGAGTCTGCAGCGGCCGCCGCGCCGACCCCGCCGCAGCCGCCCGATCCCCCCCGGAAGCCGCGCGTGGACCCGCGGCGGCGCCAGGCTGCGCTCTCCTTCCTCACCAACATCTCGCTGGACGGACGGCCACCGCTGCAGGACGAGGAGTGGGGCGGCGGCGGCGGCGGCGACGAGGGCGGCGCGGCCAAGCCGGGCGCCGGCAGCGCCTGCGGCGCGAGGACTCGGCTCAGCCTGCTGGCGGCGGCCGCCGAGCGGGGCGGCCCCTGCTTCCTGCAGCCTTCGCTGCTGCCGCCGCCCCTGACTCCGGGCGGCCACGCCACCGTGCCGGGTCCCGGGGCGACGCGGGCGCTCGCGAGCGCGCTGGGCGCCGGCCGCGCCTCAGGGGAGCAGTGGCAGCTGCCGCGGCCCGCGCCTCCCGCCGCCTGTGCTTCGCCGCAGCCGCCAGACGGGCCCGGGGACGCCGGGCAGGAGGAACTGGAGGAGGACGATGCTTTTACCAGCGTGCAGGTGCCGGCGGCAGCCTTCTTGGGTTCCGGGACTCCCGGGAGCGCGAGCGGCAGTCGGGGCCGCCTCAACTCGTTCACTCAGGGAATCCTGCCCATGGCCTTCTCCAGGCAGACCTCGCAGAACTACTGCCCCCTGGAGCAGCCCAGCCAGGGCGGCAGCACCAGCGCATTCGAGCAGCTGCAGAGGTCCCGGTGAGTGTCCCGGACGCGATGCGCTCCTCGCCGTGCGGTTCTGTCCGCTCCCACCCACCTTCACGCCTCGCCCGGGGCCTGAACTGCTAGCTCTAATATCAAGCCACTAAAGGGCACGGAAAAGGAAAGGTAGGGGAGTCCACAGGGAGTGAGTGGTCACACGTGGGTACCCACGTCCGGCACCCCCGAAAGCAGCTGCTGCTGAAAATGCGCCCACCCGCTCACCCCCAAAGTTTATGCTCGCGGGTGCAGACCCGGCGCGCGCTCCCCTGGTGCGGCGCAACGCGGCCGGGCGCGAAGGGGAGCAGTGGGTGGGGTCTGCGGCCAGGTGCCGCGCGGGTGTCCACGTGCAGCCAACATGCATTAATCTCTCCCGAGCAGCTCCCACCAGCGGAGCTCGGGCAAAGACCTTGTTGGCATTTGCCTTTTGCTTTTCTGTGAAGCCTTATGTTCTTTCAAATCTTTGTGCCAGCCCCACCTCCGGAGACCCCCGGGGGTGGGCATGGCAGGGCGGAGATCGGACTTCGGTGGTCCTCTAGAAGTGTGTCTGAATCAGTTAAGAGCTTCTTGTTAGCTTGTTGTCTGAGGGTGTTAGGTCCCTTAATCAATGCCTGGAACTCTGGGCCGCTTGCTGGTAGGAGTCGAGTGGGGGGAAGAGGGGCTCCTTGGCCTTGTCTACTGCAAGATTCCTTGCCCCGTGAGGGTCTCCACTCACAGTTCTTTCAGCCTCCTGGGTCCTCAGTTTCCCCAGTCGTGGGAAGGGAGCATTGTGCAGGCATGGCGAGGGGCAGAAACAGCATCTCTGTCCAGCCTGTGTTGGGGAAGGCCCACCCGAAGCCCAGGTTGGCTCTGAGCTGAGTAAACTTCACTTGCAATACCCCCAAGAACCCAGGGGGGCGAGCAAGCCCAGCTGGTCCAGAAGGGTGCCTAGTGGGTGAAATCACCATGGTGCCTGGTCTGCAGTGCACAGGGCAGGATCCCAGGGCTGCTGTGGGGCTGGGAGCAGCAGCCCTGGAACTGCAGGGGTGAACTGACACCGTGGGGCACAGGTGGCCGAGCTGCTCTGGCAGTCCTTGTCAGGGCAAGGCAGTGTGCAGTGGCCGGTCAACAGCCAGCAGGGAAATCCCTTGCCTCTGGGTGAGTGAGTGTGCGCAAGCACACAGCAGCTTCCAGGCAGGCAGCTGGATGTTGCTGGACACTAGCCCCGATGTGGGAGTCGAGGTCCATCGGTCAGAGGGGTCATGACTGGAGTTATAATAAACATTCGTGTTGTTGTAAACCCGTGTGCGGGACTGGCCTGTGTCCTCCTGATAGAGCGATGTGTGCGTGTGCCGAGAGTAGCTGTAACTTAGGTGAGCTGGCAGTGTTTGTCCAGGACACCCGTGTCCCGGTGCCTGGGGGCTCTAGTTGGGATTCCTGACTAGCACTGCTCTCGGAACCTTTCAGCTGCTTCCTGCCCTGCCTGCCGCCAGAACCCAGGGAGATGAGGTAGTTGGTGGGTGAGCCTCCCCTTCCCCTGACGGTCACAGTGCTGTAACTATTTCTAGATAGTCCTTTGCGGGCAGCTTTGATGGGCATTTTATTAAAAGATGACAGCTACCCACAGCATCTGATTTGAAGTCCAGAGAAGGGAAACATAGAGTGAAATCGCTTTAAGAAGGACCTTTTAAGAGAGGCTGCATTGGCTGGGGAGTGGCAGTGCGCTTAGCTGAGCCTAGGATGCTTTTAAGAACATTGTCCGCAGCTTTCTGATCACTGAGTTCTTGCACCTGCCTAGACAAACTGTGGTTTAGGGCACAGGCCACAGGAACAAGGCCAGGGCCGACCTGGTTGGAGTCCGTTGTGTGTTGTGCCTCCTTTTAGGAAACTGCCAGCCGGTGTAGTTCCATCCGGTGCTTCATGAAGCTTCCCTGGGATGAGGTTTAATTATGCTTTCCTTAGAGTCCTTGCTTGCTATTTGAGGAATTCCACGGAATGTTGCTGCTCTAAACTCCAGCGGCAAGGCTTTTGCTCCGTGATGAGGATGTCTCTTGAGACACTCTCATCCCATCTCAGCATGTCCTGGGTCCGGCTTGGGCTCTGTTCCTGAGAAACAGCACCTTAGGAAGGCAAAAGCTGTGGGCCTGGCCTCCTAACCTAGATCTGGCCCAGTTCTGACCAAAGGAGCTTTCTTTGTCTCTCTCTCTCTCTCTCTCTCTCTCCCTCTCTCCCTCTCTCCCTCTCTCTCTCTCTCTCTCTCTGTATGAATCACACACACATAGAGGTTCTGAACCCACACCCTGGAAGGTCTTTAATAGGCCTTCTAGCCACCTGTAGTCCACTGGAGTCCAGGTCTGCATTTTAGCAAGGTCCCCAGGTGATGCTTCCACTAGTGAGCATTTGAAAAGCACCGCCGCTGCCCTAGATCTGAAGCCTGCCCTTCTCCCTAAATGATGTTCCTGCATCAGGCTTGCTGGGACCATGGGAGTGTTGGGATTTTGCCACAAAATATCTTGCCGTCCTTTCTGAACACTTGGAAAACTCATCAGTGAATCTCTCGGACTTCCAGACCTAGAAATACAATAGGGTCATTTCTGCGTGCACATCTTGGCAGCTATGTCAAGGGACTGATTATACCACGCATGGGGGCAAGCTACCTGACGTCTGTCCCTGTTCACCATCACAGCCACCTGTGTAGCATGTCCCAGTTAGAGAGACCTCAGGTGGACCCAGACACTGGGCAGTCTGAGAAACCACACCCAGCTCTGCCCAGAGCGGGAGGCTGTGTCTTTGCCACCCCAGCATGTTACCATGCCTTGCACACAGTAGGTCCACAGACAGCAAGCTGTTGGCTGTGCACATTGGCCAAGAAAGCAGCAGGGCATTTCCATGGGGGTGAGCCTGTGCTCCCTTTCCCAAGTATTCCCCCAAATTCAGCCTGTTATGATCCCCAGCTTTGCGGCTGCTTCCCACTCACTGTCTCAGGACCTGCAGAATCATTTGTTCTGGCCCTGTCAAGGCAATGGCAGGTCGGACTTGGAACTCAATAAATCTATAGCGGGCTAATCTCTAAGCTGATGATTTTGTGTAGTTCATGAATGATGTCATAAATATCCAAATTGCTCTTGGCAGAAAAAATGTTTCCCCACCCCTGTTTTAGGGTAACCAGCAGACTCAAATAAACAAAGGCCTTTTAGCTTCATACCCTCTCCTGTTTCTCGTTTCTTCTCAGCTCTTGGGACACAGGAAGGTGTTAATGGGTGACAAGGAGTATAAATCTATAAGGCTGTGTTTTGAGGCTTGCAACAGCTGGCAGCCAGATGTCTAGCATCAAACCCAGGTGAACTTACCTGGTTGCCACCTGGGGTGTATAGGGGCGAGGGTGTTGTTGGGTTTGTTGTTGTTGTCTGTTTGTTTTGGTAAGTTTTATTTTACTTTTATTTGAAAGATTTGCAAAGAGAGGAGGAGAGGTGGAGTGACAGGTCTTCCATCCCCAGATAGCCACAGTGGCTGGAGCTGGGCTGATCCAAAGCTGGGAATCAGGAGTTGCTTCTGGGTCTCCCACATGGATGCAGGGGACCAAGGACTCAAACCATCTTCTGCTGCTTTGCCAGGTACATTAGTAGGGAGCTGGATCAGAAAAGGGGCAGCTGAGACGAGTACCGGCACTCATGTGGGATGCAGGCTGAGGTTTAACCAACTCTGCCTTGGCGTTGGCTCCCTTGGAGTATTTTTAAATCACCTGGGTTCATGTGGAATATGTGGACAATGAGGTCATAAGTGGGAGAAGGGCATGTCGTGAGCCAGTGCCCCATGCCTCTGGTGCTAATGCTTGTTCCACCAAGGTGGCTGTCTGATCCTGGGTGGGCTGGACCCTTCCTGGGTGCCCCATGCCTGGGAGAGCCTTGGTAGGGTTTCCCGCCCATCCCCCACTGCCCCTAGCTGACTGTTTGTGGTCCTCATTGAAGGCTGCTGGAGCCTGGGCCTCTTGGTGTCAGTGTGCTGAGTGGCACCTGGGGGTCTCTGAAAAGGCAGATTGTACAGCTCATCCGGCTCCCTGGGATGCAGGTGGACCACACTCAGAAGTGATGCTTCACCCCGTGCCTGTCCTAAGGCAAGGTGGGGGGTCTGGAGTTCAGAGACTGGAAGCCCCTCGCTTTAATGCCATTCATGCCATGTTCATCCTTCTCCCTGTCACTCAGCCCCGCCTCTCTAGAGGGAGAAACCAGGTCCCTGTTTTGGTAACTACAGACTCAGAGTGTTCCCTGAAAGGAAAGCCAGAGCTGACCTTCCCACAGCACTCTGTCATTGCCTTGCTGTGACTTTGGGACACCAGTACTGTGTGTGTTCCAGCTGCTGAGGCACCTGCCTCTGGGCCTTGCAAGTCGGTCAAGGACTTGAAGCTCTTCAGCAGCTAGCGGGCACAGCCTGAGCCCCAGCAGGCGTTCAGAGAGTGACAGTGATGGCAGGGGCAGCCCTGGCTGGTCCCACTGTTCCCCTCCTCGCAGTCACAGTCTGTTGTATGGATGAGCTTCGAGGCACCTAGGAAGAATGCTCAGTGCTGGCCAGTGTATGGGGAGGACAGGAAGTTCATGCTGCTTTCTCTCTGTGGGCAGGGTGGTAGAGACCTCTACACGCTGCGCACCACCTACCTGGCTGCTGGCACACCAGACTTACGCCTGGATTTTGCCTCACTTTGGGAAGAGTTGCCAGGTGTGAGAGGGTCAAGGGCAGGTTGAGAAGGAGTATGGGTGAGCCCGCTGACCTGGTGTGGGGTCAGCATTCCCTGCCAGGCCAAGGAGTTCTGTGCCTTGGGAGAGTGAAGGAAAGGGCTGGGGCTTGGGCTCTGCAGGCCTAGCCTGCTGGGTGTCTCAGTCCTGTGGGCCACTGAGTGGCCTGGCACTGGGTAACCTTGCAGAAGAACTAGATGAGCAGTAGTAGCGTTCAGCTTGGATGGCAGGGTAGGCACTGGTGATGGGCTTCCGCTCTTGTGCTCTTGGACAATGAGGGGTCAGACCTGG